GTTTTGCAGACTCTACATTATTCTTTAGTGCTGCATAGCATTCCAGTACATGTATGTACCATAGTTTGGTCAGCCATTCTTCCATTGATGGGCATATAGGTTGTTTCCATCTTTGTGCTATTGTAAATAGTGCTGTGATGAACATGGGTGTGCATTTATCTGTTCCTATCCTGGCTCTCACCTCTCCAGGATATATACTTAGTCATGGGATTGCTGGATCAAATGGTATCTCCAATTCCAGCTTTCTGAGGAAACACCATACTGCTTTCCACAGTGGTTGTATCACTTTATAGTCCCACCAGCAGTGTAGGAGAGTCCCAATCTCTCCACATCCCTGCTAGCATTTGTTATTTTATTAACCTTGCCATCAGTGCTGGGGTGAGATTGTATCTCATTGTTGTTTTGATTTGCAGCTCTCTGATGACCAATGATCATAAGCATCTCTTTATATATTAGCTGGCCACCTGAATATCCTCCTTGGTGAAGTGTCTTCTGCCCATTTTTCAATTGGATTGTTAATCCTTTTGCTGTTGAAGCATTGGAGTTTTCTGTAAATCTTAGAGATAAGTCCCCTGCCAGATACGTAATTATCAACAAGTATGAATTTGTTGTTGTCATTTTTGTTATGTGCTTTTTCGTGGTATTGATGTCTTTGTTCCATGTAATTTTCTGTGCTGACCTCGTTTTGTTTATGAATCGTGTTATCACTTCCTTTGTTGCTATTATTTTAGTATTTGCTAAATATTTGTGCTGATCCTCTTTTTGATTTTGATGTGAAGGTTTATCGTTTTTCTTTGAGGTTACCCTGTGATTTATAGTTTTCTTCCCAAGTTTAGACAGTCCATTCTATCTTGTAGTTGTCTTGACTTCCCTATCATTTAGAAGTTCTGTTACTATACAGTTTTTTCCCTCTTTTTGCTTTGTAGTTGTCCTCATTTGCCAATTGATTTCTCTGGTTCCCTGTTTAAAATCTTGTAGGCATATTTACTTTGGATACTTCCATAGCTGGGTGGGTTTCTGGGTTATATCATCGTGTGTTAATTGTCAGTTGTTGTTTGCTGTTGTTGCTTCTCTGTCCAAAGGACTCCCTTAAGCATCTCTTGTAAGGTTGGTCTGGTTTTAACAAATTTCGTTAATTTCTACTTATCTGAGAATGTCCTAATTTCACCATCATATTTGAGGGACAGTTTTGCAGGGTACATAACTCTTGGTTATAAATTTTTCTCTTTCAGGGTTTTATATATATCATCCTATTGTCTTCTTGCCTGCATGGTTTCTGTCGAGAAATCCAAGCTTAGTCTTATTGGTCACCCCTTGTAGGTATCTTTGTTTCTCCCATGCTGCTCTCAGGATTCTTTCTTTGCCTTTGGTTTTGGTTAATTTGATGATGATATGTCTTGGTGATTTTCTTTTGGGGTCTATTCTGTGTGGGGTTCATTGGACTTCTTGAATGAATATATTCTCATCTTTCATCATACCAGAAAAATTCTCTTCCAACAAATCTTCAACAATTTTTTCTGTGGTTTTATTTGTCTCTTCCTGTTCTGGAATTCTGATTACATGTAGGTTATTCCTTTTGCTGGTATCCCACATGAACCTTAGGTTTTCTTCATTTTGTTTTGATCTTTTTTTCTGATTGATCACTTTCTAAAGAAGTATTGAGTTATTTGCCTTCAATCTCAGTAGTTCTGTCTTCCATTGATATAGTTCTACTCCTTTGCCCATTCCATGTCTTACTCATTTCTGAAAATTTGCATTAATCTTCTGGAATTCTGTCTGTAGATTTTGTATCATTT